TACTACGCTGCTATCCGCCACTTGACATTATTCGGGACGCACTTTGTCGACCCAACCTTTCCCTGAAGTTGTAAGAGGCCACATTGTTATGGTGGAAAATATATTACTAAAGTACCGGATGCGTGAGGGGCCACCGTCTTAGCCTGGTGCCTATGCCACCGAGGAGGAGCACATTTAGTGGTGACTCAAGTAATCGCGTAATTTAGCACAGATTTTAACAAATTATTGCAGCACTAGTATACAAAATGCCTCCTTACTTAACCGATTTCTAGTCGAGCAATCCAAAGGATTATATTATTCAATTGTATTAATTTTCTTATGGAGAAATCGACTAGCAGTCCGGCATTAATGACGCTTCACTCTCTTTTTCGCCTTACTTACCGCAATTTCTCGCCATTTTGATGAGAGGCTTTTAAGGCAGATCACAAATTTTGCCAGTTACAAATTTTTTACACTTTTCTGCAGATTGCCAGGCATGTAGTCGCCTTATTGGCAGACGCAAATGCGTCAAATTTCTCCTTACGATCAATTTTGGTGACCTGAAACCCAAAAAAATGCACTCTCTTTGTGGTTACTTGATTTTCTTTAATCGAATTTTACAACGGAGGTGAGGCATTTGACAGGTGTGACGTCATCGGTAGATGATTGTCACATCAAGCTCCACACAGCATGAGTTTGACGTAACTAGGCAGGTGTCATAGAGCCAACTCCAACTCCCACATTTCATCTGCAGACACGCATTAACTTCACCGAATAAATCCTTGCTGACGCAGTCGCTGATTTAAACAATTGTTGGTCCTCAGTCCATTACAGTAATGTTACCGTTTTTTTGGCAGCGAAACAATTATGATTTTAAGGCAGCCTCTGAGCTGTCGCCTAACACATCCGTAGAGAAGTACTGGTTTTTAAACAATTTAAAAGCGGTCCTCTGGATGATTGTCAGATCTCGCGGGGAATGTGAATAAATGGTAGACACGGAATTGGATCTGGTCTAATTGGTTTTCAAGATTAAGCAGTTTTCGTGAAAAAAAGCGGAAGTGTTTGTGTAGAACTCGAATTCTGGTGGGGAGGTATCAAGAGCAGACGTCCCTTCGATTCCCCGGCGGTAAGTCTCCGTAGCCATGGATCTGGTTACTAGTCAAAGAAACGGGGCGTGCTCTTAGTTTGGGTCGTCTGCGGCCACCTCCACCACCGAAGTGGTGCATCGAGTCTGTCCTGAAGCCGTGAAAGTAACTAATAGTCTATAACCACGGTTTGGAGGCTGTGCTTCATGGCAGAAGTGATTGTCATTCAGACGAAATGGCATCGCGGTCAGGCCGCTATCACAATCATCTGCCAAGTTGACACTTGGCAGAGATTTTATCACAAAAGCGGGCAGAGGGAATACAATTCCACTGCAGCGACACAGACAAAGAGCTGTCAACTGTCACGGCACCTCGTCAAGTCGAAATCTGACACCGGGATCAACCCTAGGCCTTCCGGAAGGGATATTTGCGCAGCCTTCAAACGTGTTTCGAAGAGTCGCCATGAACGCAACTCAAGGGCCAGCCTCAAAAACAAGCGTCTCTCCCCCTCCTGTCCCACATCAATGACCCAGCCACCGGATTATCGCATGGAACCGTGAGCCTTGAACATCCCGTCAACCTGTGACTTCAAATAAGGAAGCGACAAGAAGACCACAAACTCGCACTAAGGGCTCGCCAGCTGCCTTTCCACACAACACTCGACGCGTCTCAGTCGAGGCGAAGTAGCCATGGCAACAGTGGAATAAGGAGTAATAGTAGCAGTGCAGTATTAGCTCAGTAGCATACACATATTATCAGTAGCAATAGTAATAATACATACTTAGAGGTTAGGAAGGGCTTTGGGGAGGGGTAGGGCAGGTGGTACACCGACCGCCGCAGCAGTTCAGCGTACACCGAATCAAAAGGACTGGACGGAATACGGCTGGAGGAGAGGGGCGGGAATTCAAGATTAGAAAAAAGGTGAGGGGTGGCGCATTTCAAAATAGGTACCAAAATACCGTGCAGCGGGTGGGTGAGTGTGTGTGTGTGCGAAGAGAAGTGGGGCGGTGTAGGCGCGTGGGTGCTCGCGTGTGCAATGCAAAACAGATACACCAACAACAGCAACGGCAAAACGGAAGCAAGGAAAGGAGGGAGGAGGGTCAACTCCACTTTATGTGCATTGGAATGGACTAGGAGTGGGAACGAGTGAGGGGCCTCAAGTCAAACGTGGACGCTTCGCCTCCGAGGGAATGATCAGAGAGGTGGCAGTAGTGGTAGCTGTGGTGGCAGTGGAGACCCCCAAACCCGCCGACTGCTCGACACTCAGGCCCGATGCGGATCGGCTCGCATCCTCCTCAAAGGTTGTCACCCGAACCACCTTCCGCATCGGTGTAGCCTTCAATGAGAGTTCAGCTAATCGAACAACCGTACCGGAAGAATTTCAGTGGTAACTGAGAGGGCTTCAACCTACATGGGCAACGATGGGCGGTGGAGAGTCACAGCACTCCTGTTGTGACTGCGTCAGTGACTCGCATTCCTCCACCTTAATACACTTCTCCACCTGCTCCTCCTCGACATTCAGATGACCTGTAAAGCCGACGTCTCCATTTGTCGCCTTCTGCGTGGCCGCTGCCGCTGCTTCCGCTGCTGCAGCCTCCGCAGCTTTGAGGAGGGCCGATTCGTGAGCCCGACAAAGCATGGCATTCTCATTCTCATTCTCGTCACCATCATCTTCGTCCACTTCTTCTTCCTCCTCCTCCTCCACCTCCTCGCCGTCCAGGAATTCCTCCACCATTCCGTCAGCGCCTGCAACTGTCTCCACTTCCGCCTGTCGTGCCGCAGTAGAGGGTGAGGAGGAAGATGGACGTGGAAAGACAGCCTCGGTCGCGAATGCCTCGCAAATTGCCGCCTCATCAGCTTCTGCTGCGGCCTCATCATGATCCGAGGTCGTCGTTGCTGCCGAGGTCAAGATCGCTTCAGGAGTTGCCTCAACCTCAACTTCGGTCTCCCCTTTCACTAAGTGACAAGGTGGTACCGCCTCCTTGACGGCCGTCAAAACTGCCTCCAGCTTGCCTCTCCCAGTAGCAGTAGTGTTGGAGGAGGAGGAGGAGGAAGTGGTGGGCAGATTGTGACGAGAGCGTCGAGACTCGATTGTAGAGGTACCAGCAGGAGCGACGAGGGCAGCCGCAGTAGCGCGAGATAGATTGCAGTGTGGTCGTGTCACTGCCTAAAAGGAGAAATGCGAGGCGATTGCTACCACAGGAATTTCCTACTTGAACTCACACGTCACAAATAAGTGACATGCGTTATTTTCCATGAAGAAAGGTCAAAAGAGAAGACCCACCCTGCCCATTTCGCCCATTACTGCCACCGGAGTCATACCAAGATGCGCAGCGACCTTGTGCTCAACTAGGTAGAAGATGTACTCATCGTAGAGCAATCGAATGAGATGGAAGCTACCAAAGCTGGCTGCGGAGCGTAGTGTGAGGTCTCGTATGACCATAGAGCTGTAGAAGGACCACTTGAGGATAAGTTGGTGTGCGGCGCGAGCATAGGCGAGGTTGTTTCCCTCCAGCGGGCGAAGTATTCCCGTCACTACGGTATCTAACCACTGTGCCCACTCTTCCAGGCTTGACTGCTTCTGCAGGATGTACTTGAAGTCCTGCTCCAGGTGGGCAACTGTGGCGTCGCTGCATTGACACACCCACGAAGCTTGCTCCTAAATCCAGGCACACAAATTTGCGTTGCTGATATGAGAGGCACTTAATGCAATTCCTACAGGTCCTGAGTCACAGCTTAGAGACGCAAAAATAACGCCCACCTGGACATTATTGAAATCGACACGACTGAGGTCTATGAGCATTTGGTTGATCTGGGCAGGATTTTTGAGCACAGCACGCGCCGCCTGAGCGAGGTGGTTAAGGCTAGTGTAGCGCCGCAGGGTCTGCGCCAGCGCCGAGACCGCGCCTAACTTGATGCGTAGCAGCACGGGATCCAAATCCTGTAGAGCCTCACGCATCCACACCTGTGAAGAGAAGATAAATGCTGACTTCGTTTGGCTTGCGTTTAGCTCTGCCGTCTGATATGCAACTCGAAGTTCACAAGGGACGGGCGGCGATGTAAGAGGGCGACAATGGGTCGCCACCAGTGACATATACACGAGGTAGCGGTTTCCATGCATGAGCCCACATCCCACACATATCTGCCGCAGAAAATTATTCAAATCAGAGCGAAAAAGCAAATAACAATAGTTTGTAATACTGGAACAACAGAAAACTTGAACTGTAGTGGTTGATCGCCTTCTGAGCTCCTGGTAAGGAAGTGTTACTTACGCAGGCTCTTCAATCTCCACAGGCTTTGATTATCGTCTTTGAGGCATAGCGTTCGCCAGCCTCGTGTTCTGCAAAAAGCAATGCGTCCATCAAGGAGCTATGACAAAAGTTAATGCGGAGATGCGATACCCCCTCCACATTCCCAGAAGGTGAAAGTAACCACGATAGACGGTTAGGCAGGCAATGAAGTAAGGTCAAAAAGGAATCAAGAGGGATTGGCTAACCAACTTAACCCAGTAGGAGTAGCAAACTGCAGAGAATCGACCCGCATTGAGGCGTGCAAGGTCAGTAAATTCATCCGGAAAGATTTGCAAACAACAAGTGGATCCACAAGAATCAACAAAGCGCATCACTGCCATTGGAATCAAATGGAATCTCAACTCAATGTAAAACAAATATGCATCACCAACTACGATGTGATGGGCAACTGGGAAGAATGACCACGGTGAGCTCATAGGATAATTCTCAAAACAAAAGGAAAAGAGGGAGAGAAAGACGGAACAAACCTCCAGATGCTTGGCAAAGTTGCGAATAGCCTGTGTGAGGGAGGAGGGGATGGGTCGAAGGACGTTAGGAATGAGCACTTCGGCGAGGGACTGGTAGAAAGTGTGGTCGTAGAGGCGAATGAATTGGTGCACCACAATGTTCTTCGATAACGCGTACAGCCGATCCTTTGAGAGGGTCTTCTCGAACACCGAGTCCTCCTGCAATGCAACGGAAGGTCATGCGTCAGAGATCCATTAAATGGTCTCTTTGAAAGGCCCCTATAACCCTATCACGGTACGTCAACAATCATTTGGCGTCAATCTAGGTAAACTGCAAACCCACGTGTGTCACTATTGACGCCCTGTTCCATTTGAATTTGGTGAGTGGAAAAATCAATTGGACGACCTTACAGGACACAGCGCACAGAGAAGAAAATTGACGAATACAGTCGGCGCTTTACCAAGGGGAACTCACACTGCAGTCTCCAGTTCGCCAAAAGGCCTTCCAGGCGCCGGAAATGGAGGAGAAATCAAGATTTACCACAGCATCGAGCATATTGCCCGCCGACTGGGCATAGAGGATGACAAATTTGATCAGATCTTTGGTAGGCAGACCATCTAACCCGCCTCCTGCCCCGCCTCCTCCCGACGTCAACCCAGAAGTTCCCAATGCTGATGAAGATGGCACCTTTTTTGTAGAGGTCGTGGAGGATCCTGAGGCATTTCGAACGCGTGGCGACAGTTCCCCATCGTCGGAACCTGTGAAGAGAAGGAAGTAGTCAATTAGTTTCTTCTATCAAGATTGTTTGCCAAGATTTCACTTACCAGGAATGGGTAGCCCAGCTGAACGACAAATCTCGTTTAAGTTCGGAAGAGCTGAGGTTGCTTCACCCAAAAACTGCACGTGCTGGTGTCTGTTTTGACCACCAACAACACCAGGTGTCCGTGTGCTCCCCAAACTACTACCACCGCTACTAACAGTACTATCTCCAAAGGCGCCACTGACAGAGGCAGCACCCTGTCTCACTCCTCCCGAAACAGTGGAAGAGGAATTGGCGCCAATGCCACTAGAGGTGGTGGAAGTGGCGGTGGACTTGCCGGCAAGGCTCTTCCACTCCGCCACAACCTCCATACTCTGGCGATGGTAGTTAGGGTAGTGACGCAAAGCGAAGGCCGGGTCCTCCACGTAGTGATTCAACTGGGAGGAGGGTTTGATTCGGATGCCGTAGTAGTGATACTTGCTGTTGCCCCGGGTGCCTAGGCGACGAGTGCGCAGACCCAGAAAGACGGAGCGGATAAGTTTACCAAAGGAGGCGGGATTCATTGGCTCCAGCTTATTTTCGTGACAGTGTTGGAGGTAGTGAAAATAGAGCGTGCTTCGGGGCAGACTCACACCCTCAGCTGTCTCGTAATTTTCCAGCAGCCACTGAACCTGGGTGATCGAACACAAACCGAGGGTGAAAATCACCCTAAAAGATGGGGGACTGATGAAAAGAAATGAAGAAGGGTAACTCACGGTGACAGGACTGGCCTTGGCGGTGTGGGAGAGGGCAGTAGCATCCTCCTCAAGTGCCCCAGTAGCACTCTGGAGGATGTAAGTTGTGCCCTGGTGAGTGACGATTTGCGTGGCTCCGCCGCCACCACCACCGACACCCGCAGTAGCTGCGGCCGCTGCAGCACCGACTATAGATCCGCCTGCTCCGCCAAAGCCCGAACTGGCAAGAACCTACAGAGACGAATAAGTCGAATTTTTTTCACCCTTCCAACCATTTAAATGGCCTAATACAAGTTCCACCAAGACTACTTTGAAGAAAACTTATCCACATTGATTCAAAAATAAGGCGAATGGTGACGATTATCTGGTTGTTCATTGAAAAACTTTAAATTGCCTTTTTCTAACTTTAGGATTTCGCCATCAAACGTGCAAACTGTTGAATGGATGAACGGTCAAATGAATGCGAAGGAAAAGCCAAAGTCATCCGAGCGGGAGAACCGAAATGGAGGTAATGTCGGGATTTTTTTGGTTTGGAAAGTGAGGATAGAGCCGAACCAAATTGTAAGTTCAACGCTGAAGCTACACCAATACCAAAAAGGACGAGTTTCGAATGCAACACCATTTTAGAGATTAAGTAGAAGCTGCATGCCAGCGTGGTGGCTACCTAGTTATCCATATGAATTGGGCCGAAAAGAAAGCTGCTATTCCTTTCCATAGGATATTCCGAAAAGCTAATCTACACTGCAGCGCGCAATCCCACTCGTAAGTAGGCAATAATGTATCGAATGGTTGCAATACCTTCACTGCTAGCACCAGGCAGCAAAATCCTATCAACCTGATGCAGTTTTTATGAAATTGCTAAGGAATCTCGAAGTAAACGCTTACTAGTTCTTAGTTTTGAAGTGAAGATCCACCACATAAAGTGCTGAGCTAGTGAATGAATGGAGTGAGTGAAGAGATGACAGCTCGGATCGCCGAAACTACAAATAATTGATAATAATGTACACCCTTGTTTTGTTTAGCATCCACTGACGTAAAAGTCCTGGAAGAAGTTGGGGTGAGATGAATAAACAAACCACAAGAAGCATCTGGAAATACAATAGGTGCTCAATGCATCCATGCAATGAAGGTAAGGTCCTCTTTTTGGCATAACATTCATATCAACACCGAAAATAATCGACTAGTGATCTCCATAAGTTGATCAGTTGATGTAACTAGATCTGCCAATTGATAGGCTTAACTTTCGATTCATTGCAGTAGGCCACAAAAGCCAATTTGTCCTCAAATAGACAACGGGAAGACAAGTAGCAACCTTCCAAATACGTTAATCACAGCCGGACAAGAACAGTCCAGTGTGGCCTTTAAAGAATAATTCTAACTTAAAATGCAATAAAAGTTTAGATCTTTTGAAAGGTAAGAAGGCAAATTCACTCCATTTTCTCGGCACATTGGCCACCAGCACCAAATACGTAAAGGATACTGTTATGCATCCTTGCAGCTAAAAACTGACGTTGTCGGTAACCTTTTATCACCGCCGATGAAGTTTAAAATGAGCACAGCAGTCGGATAGACAAACATAAAATTTTGTAGTAGGCAATAAAGAGACCGACAAGCGAGATGATAAGTGAATCAATGGGCAGATTCCGTCCAAAGAACTTTGCATCTTGAATAAACACCAAACTGGCTTGGACCAAACCTACTGGAATGGAAGTAGGGGATGTTAAGCACGATATGTCTTAAAGTAAATTGCTACAGCCGTTTAAATGGAGGTTGTTTGCACAAAAGTGCTCTGCTTCTGACCTTTGTACCAAGTTGCATTAGAAGCAGAGAGAAGTAGGAAAAGTTCCTCTGTAAGCCACTATGCGATTGGAAGGCATGTCAAGAGGGCGTTAACAAACTGCTTGTTGCATGAGAAGACCATTTATGGACAGTGGCAAGTAATTGATCATACAAAAAAAGATGCCACCCCTTTCACCACGCATTTACAGTAACTTTCAAATGCCACAAAAACTTGTAAAGCAATGAGAACCTGTTAGTAGAAAAAGCTGAAAAGTAGCCCATCCTTGTAACAGATTCACATATTTGATTACGGAAATGTAACATGCAGTAATTCGAAAAATTTCCAAAATAACCGAAAATAATGAAACCATGAACAAACACAATTAAAAAAACAAGGCGAAACTAAACTAACAAAGACTGCAAAACCATTTTATTTGAAACAATGCGACTGTTACAAGTACTTTGACGGTAGGAACGGATGTGCGTCATGCTTATTTAACCTACAGAGCCGCTATGTAGCTGGGAAGCATCAATGTAGACACCAATTGCAAAAAAATAAGGTGAGGTAAAGCACCAAAGCACCAATCCTACCTGTCCACCGACAGTCTGATAGTAGGTTTGGCTGCCACATACAGGAGTGTAGATGATCGGTGCATACTCCTGGTACTGCCTGAAAAAAGATCCGAAAAAAATATAAAGCACATTGACGAAATTTGTGCAGATCCAAGTGCCGGTAATGGTGCGGGCGCAGGAAAAATGGAGACAAATAAGGCAAGCGCAACACATCGCGAGACAATTTACTCATAGCTAATCTTGGGTACGGCAGAGGCATGGGAGTAGAGCCGGCGTAGTTGAGTGTCGCCTCTATTCAGAGTCAGGAATCCGCTGGAGCACACGAAATGGAGGTTTGGATTGGGGTAAGGGGGAAATTTTAAGGGCTGGGGAGGGAAGAATGTCACTTACACTTGACCCGAACCGCCTCCACCACTAGCCCCACCGGCACTGCCTCCACTACCACTGCCACCGCCACCTCCACCACTAGCGCCACCGCTACTGACAGCAGTGGCAGCGTAAACAGTCTGTTCAGCTGCTGCCTCGATGTACTGCGTGGGAAGGAGGGTCTGAACAGCCCCATTGGTGGTGGAATCCGTCACCAAACCGGGAGAGTCGGTGGAGCCAGCCGCAGCTGCTGCTGCGGACGCAGTGGAGCCTAGCTTACCGACAAGGAGGTGTGGACTGTTCTGTTGGATAATGGTGTGGGTGGTCACGGGGTTCTTCGAGACCTGAATGACTGTCGCCCCTTGGCTGGAGCCCGGTTGCATAGCTCTCGTAAATTAAGAGATACGTTTACGAAAGCCTAAAAAAGGTAACCTTTTGAGGAGGCGAGATAAATGATGAGAATCATGGTACATAGGGAAAGATGAACAGTAAACACAGCCAATGAGATGCTTCATGAGGAAAAGATAGGAATTCAAGCGGGAGAATTGCTTGATTTTTCACAAAGGTATTGTATAAGACTCAGCCAGAGAGTCATAAAGATATACTCTCTTTCTTGCATTAATAGAACAGCCTGTATAATAAAAGTAGCTGTAATAGAACTAAGAAGTAGAAATTACAAAATAAATCAGAGATCCACAAAATCAACAAATATGGAAAACAACCTGGTTTCAAATACAAGACCCCATGAAAAATCACTAACACCAAGCACTTAAACACACCAGAACAGCTTCCAAAACACTGTTTATGGTAGATCCACCACTTGATGGCAAAAGACAAAAAGAACGGTGTACTAGGCAAAAAATCGAATGAGACGAGCATCTAACGGATCTCTGCCGACTTTTCACTTTTCTGATATACCCGATCAAAGATAACTAGGTTGTCTATGCCTTTAAGGTTAAGCAAAAATTAAGCCATTAAATTGAATATCATTTTGTTTACCATAGTTACGGGGCATAAAATTGCATAAAACAGCACTGAACTAAAATGATTTTAAAATAAGCCCCCAAAATGGACCGCTATAGCTATTTTAAAAGGTACGATACAGTCGCATTGGAAACAAAACAAATAATCACCTCAGTTGATGGGTTACAGTCGTCAACAGCTACCGTGACTATGGCGCTCACTATGGCGTCAAGTGTTTACGTCAGTGGTTACTATAACAATTAAAGCGCGGTGCTTAAAATCTTATACTGTATCATCGAAATAAACAAAACATATTTAAGCAGTAAATGCAAGAGTTGTATAGTCGCTTACTAAAGTATTATTTTTTAAACTGTATGGTGGTAAAATTTTAACGAATTGCGCCTGAAGCTAGGCTTGTCAACCTCAATCCTTCTTAAATTATAATACTAGAAGGGGTTATTAGGCCAACTATTGTATTTTTTAAAAGACATTTTTAATGTTATTAATTGAATTATTTTCATCTATGCCATAAAGTCGGTTACTGCATCTTAGCTCTGCCCTCTCCCTCTTTTAGGTGTGTCTATCTAGTTCCTAGGTAGCTTTTTCCACTGTTACCATGTTTTAAATTATCATGCTTATTTCTCACGCAAATTTAGTCCCTTACAGTAAACAGTTCTGTAAATTCCCTCCGATTTTATCTGCGTTTGATACTTCTGTTTCGTCTGTTGCACTCAGTCTTCCCAAAATCTGCTTAGGTCAGTGTATTATAATGGAACGTACTGAAGTCGTAAGAAGACTTAGAAACACAGCATAAAAGGTACTACTGGCTTGGAATTGGAATGAGGATCTGCTGGGATTACTCAGGGGCCAATCCTCTGAATGGAAGTGCGGAACCACGGAGACCTAAACTCCAGCGTAATCAAATGCAGAGTTAAACAAAATGCAAAACCCATTACAAATACTTTACAAATGTACGGAGGAGCTAGAATTTTATGAACTTGGCCTGGGGTCCAAGCCGTGAAGAGGGTGTGTTGTGACGGGTCTCCCCTTGCGAGCAGCATCTGTGTGTCAGACGTTCAAAGCCTCGACTTCTTTATTTGATTGCGAATGCTTAATAAATTTTGTCCGTTCTGTCTGTCTATGATAGCTGGTGGTCTATCGCATACAGATCGGTTGTTTTTAATGGAATACCTTAATGCATAAGGTCTCTCTTCAGATGAAAACCCCTTTTTAATTCCTGCGTAATAGCTGACTTGGTCAAATGCACAGCACCAGTGAAGTTGAACATCCGCCCGTAGTGGTAGTTTTTTGCCGAGACTAATAAAGTATTCTTTTTAGATGCACGCTTCAGATGGCAGGTGGGTGGCTTGAAGCAACCTCGCAACCGAGTGAGCTTCATCGAATATCAGAGCGGAGGCAAATCCAGGTTCCTCGTATAACGTTGTGCAGCTTCTAATAGTATCCTGCTAAAACCATTGCACAATACCTTTTGTAAGTAAACAATTCTACTTTAGAGGTTCCAATTTTAGAAATAGAATGGAGAAACAACGATGTTTCCGCACCAGTAATGAACGTAGCTTTCCTAAACGAGGTGTATCCCCCTAGCCCCCCTGCATAGCGGGCATCATTCTCCACGGTACAGGCCCCCACCCCCCCCCCCAAGTTTTTAATGCAAATACTTTTTTACAAATTTCGTAGATGCATTTTATTAATCAAATTGTCATAGAGCCTAATAAATGTAGATGGGTGTAGATACTACTAACAACTTGGTGGGTAGCAAGTAAGCTCCACCTATTTGGCTCATAAAGAAGAATGGGGGTATAACACTCACCACCCGCACCTGTTTCAGCGCATGGTACGAAATCAACTCGTCAAGCCGACGATTAACGATGACGTGAAGCGAAGTGACGGAGATTGAGAGCTCCCAGACGACCTGACAGCTGAATGTACTAGCATGCAATGACCGATGGTCGAAGTGAATGCAGGCAGCCTTCACACACTCACAAAGTAACTCAGAGCAACCTCCTTCTCAGTAGCAATTTTAGTTCTGATAGTATTTAGATGGTTAGAATTGATTCCCTCCTTCAACAAGCAAGTCA